GCCAGGACTGCGTAGTGAGATTCAGTCTCAAAAACGAGCAAACAAACAAAACCAAAAAAAAAAAAAAAAAAAAAAAAAAAAGCAAGGGGCTTACTTACAGCAGCATGGGTAATTCCAGGGCGGCTCCGCCGTCAGGACTTTTTAAAACGATGCAGGACCAAGTGGTGCCTGGAGGGCTGAGGTAGGCTCTGAGAATCTCCCGAGCCTCCCTAACCACTCTCCAGAAGGAGTGTCAGCAACCACGCACAGTTCTCCGTTTATTTCACTGCCATGACTGTGCGCCCAGGTTTTCCTCAGTTCACTGCAGGTGCTCTGATCCACGGTGGTGACGTTTCCCGTCAAGTCCAGAGGGAAAAGATGTTCCGTAGACGTCGTGTACACCCAGAGGCCATGAGGTGACTCCCCGCACTGAGATGTGTGCACCCCTCCAGGCCCTGCATGCAGTGTTGTTTACAACAGCCAAGATCCCAAGTAATCAGTTGAGTCTGTCCACGGTTAGAAGGATAGAGAGGCAGATTCTCTCTCTGTCTCTCTCTGTCTCTCTCTCTCCCTCCCCCTCTCTCTCTTTACTCTCTCTTTTTCATCCCCTCTACGGCTACACACACACACACACACACACACACACACACACACACACACACAAAGGAACAAGATTTGATCTAGCCCTTACAAAGGGGACTGCCATTCATCGTAATGTGAATCCGGAGGGCAGGGCACCGAGTGAGATTAGCCACACACAGAGAAGCAAGCATTTGTGTGCTGGGTGGGACTCAAATGCACCTAAAGCATTATCAGGAGCTGGCGGGTGTAAAGGGGGAGATTCTGACTTAGTGCTACAAAGTTTCATTTATGCCCAAGAGCTAGTGGGCAGCATGGCAACTCTATGCTGTCTCTTAGATTTGACATTTGCCAACAGAGCAGATTCCACGTGTTTCTTTTGTTTATTTGAGATGATACGTAGCCCTGGCTGTCCTGGAACTCACTGTGTAGACTAGGCTTGGCCTGGAACTCCCAGAGACACATTGGCTTCTGTTTCCCAAGTGCTGGGATTGAAGGCGTGTACCACTATCCCCAGCCTTGTATCACACACACACACATACACACACACACACACACACACACACACACACACACAAACCCCTATACTGCATAAGGAGGTAGATATGTTAATTAGCTTGATTATGGTAACCAGGTTTCTACATCCCCAGAAACCAACCAACTGTGGGTGGAGACAAAAAAAATTGCATCTTGACTTGAAATATGTGTGAGCCTTTTTTTCCTTGTCATCCTCTGAATACAATATCCATTGGTATTCCATGAGGTCTTACATTGTATTGATGACTTAAAGGATTCAGGAGGATTGCATAGGTTATATCGGCCTGTCCTTGGGAGACCTGGAGCTAATCCCTACAGACACCGAGGGATAATTTCACAGTTATGGCAAGCCATTATGTTGTACTCTTTAAAAGCATGCTGTTTTTTTTTTTTATTTTACTTGTCAGCCATACTTCACAAACGCTGGGAGAAAGGAGGCCACAGGATTTTGGTGTTGGGGTCTGTGCCTGGCTCAGGCAGCAGCTTGGCAGTTCTAAAGATCTTCGACAGGAAAAATCACCGTGATGGCCCCCAGCTGGAACCATTCAAGGAGGTGAAGATGGTACCATGGTTGGTTCAAAGACATTCTTAGTGTGTCTCTCGCTGGTTCCAGGGCTAGTGAGCATGTCCAGAGGGTCCCCCCACCCCCAAAAGTTCCTGGTCCTGGTTGAAGGAAGCATTTCTAAGAAAACGAGGGTTGGTGTTTTCCTTCACCATTTTCAAACTTTAAGCAAAGCCACCACACAGCCTTTGGACTTCGGACTCATCCACCAAGAGAAAGTATGGGGGGGGGCAGCTGATGGATTTATTACACCAACACAGCAAGAGAGGGAGAAACACCTCTCTCTACCTAGCGGGGCTGCCTTAGGATGGAACCACATCGTGGTTTTACAGAAGGAATGGGGGAGGTCCCAGTGACGCAGGATGGCTGCGTGGAGGGCGGGGGGGGGGGGGGGCTGTCCCTGTTTCTGCTGCTCTCAGAAGACGTGTGACCCAGGAGAGGGCCAAGGGCCTGGGAGACTGAAAGAGGACTTGTCATCTGCCAAGAGCAGAAGTCCAAGAGTGTTCTCAGGACTGCAATTCTCAGGACTCAGTGTGGGGAGTTTTGGGTGAGAAAAGTTGCAAATGAACTGGACCCCCAGTTGGTGGCGCTGTTGGTGGAAGCTAAGCGACCTTTGGGAGGAGGAGCTTTGCTGCAGAAGTCTCTGGGGGCCCCGGCTGGCTTTGAGGGTTTGTAGCCTTACCCCACTTTCTCCCCTCCACCCATCCTGTATGTGGATAAAATGTGATCAGCCAGCTCCCTGCTTCTGGGACCTTGCAGTTGTGACCTCTGGTGCCATCCTGGCCACGGTGCTCGGGAATGGAAAGTTGCTCTTGCCGGAGCGTTTTTTTGTTGTTGTTGCACCTGCAGAAAAGTTACTAATACGTACCCAGCGGGGCCTACCCACAAGCTGCCCCTTGCCCTCTAATGCTTTCTTTTTCATTCAGCTCTTACCGTACCCGGCTGGAGTGGAGCAAATTCACACCTCTCTCTTACACACCTCCCCACTTAAGTGGCCAGGGTCCAGGGCTCAGTCAGCATCTCTTATGGACTCGACACCGTTTTCCACGGACGCGTCCCTAAGAGGACCCAAGTACCCAGCCAGAGTCCCAGAAAGCCTTCAGTTCCAGGCTGCGGTCAGTGTCCGTTTCGCCTTCTTAGCCCTTTGGCGTTGTGTTCTGTGCCCCACGGACGTGATAGTGACGTGTTTAATCATCCAGCCGGGCAAAAGACAAGTGCGTGTTGGGGGTGACCACTCAAAGGCCCCAATACCAACCCCAGCCTCCAAATCCTGGGAAGACACCAGGAGAGGTAAGTTATGCCCTTCTCAGATCGCGAGGAACAAAGAAATCGAGCGTGGGGACTGGTTCAGCAGCTAAGAGAGCTTGGGGCCAGACATGGTGGGGGTTCCGTTCCCAGGACCCGCATGGCAGCTCACAGCCATCCAAACTGTCCACAGCTCCAGTTCCAGCTCCAAGGACTTCGCTGCCTTCCTGTGACCTCTGTGGGTACCAGACACATACGAGGTACACACACAAACATGCAGGCAAAGCACTCACATATATAAAACAAAAATAAACAAAACCAGTTCTAGGTCAGCTGTGGGGGCTCAAGTGGTACCTTTCTCATACCATCCCACTTAGCTATTTTTTTTTTTTTTTGGTTTTACGAGACAGGGTTTCTCTGTATTGTTTTGGAGGCTGTCGGTCCAGCCCCGCCTCGAACTCACAGAGATCCGCCTGCCTCTGCCTCCCGAGTGCTGGCCATTTAGCTATTTTTTGTCTTTGATCCAGAAAGATGCCAGGTCGGTGGCCAATGCCTGCGTGCTGTCAGGATCCGCTGCAGCTAAATTCAGAGTCAGACTGAACCCATAAACCTGGAGCTAATGTCTATACTTAAAATGTAGTTCTGGGGCAGCATTAAGAGTAGTCTTGGAAAACCATGGTCAAGTCAATGAACTTTCTCTCTCTGGCCTTTTTGGGCAAGTCCACTGCCAGATGACTTCAGGAAAAGAGAATGGTTTTTTGTTGGACTCTGCCTCCAAGACTTTAAGTGTCATGGAGTCCTGGACCTCCAGTTGGTGGTTTTTTTTTGTGTGTGTGGTTTCAAGTATGTTTTCTGAATAGTTGTAAGCTTGAGCGAAGACCAAGTTGTTTTTAGCTCTAGAAAGTCTGGTATGCAATTTGTCTGTCTGTCCGTCCATCCATCCATCCATCCATCCATCCATCCATCCATCCATCTATCCATCCATGTATCTTGTGTATTTTTTGTGGAGGATGTAGGGGGGGTTAAACATAGTTCTTTCATTGGCTTACATCCCATGTTCTAATAAATACTTTGACAATTATTTCTATTGTTTGTGTACCAGTGTTTTGCCCGCATGTATGTCCATGTATGTCTGTGCTCCATGTGCATGTCTGGTGTCCTTAGAGGCCAGAAGAGGGCATCCGATGTCCCGAAAGTGGAGTTACAGACAGTTGTGGGATGTCATTTAGGTACTGGGAATCAAACCTGGATCTTCCACAAAAAGAAGTGCTCTTAACCACAGAGTCATCATCTCTCCAACCCCCATAATGAACACTTCTTGAGTGACTCACTGGTTCTGTAATGTTTTCTCTATGCAGTTTCTTTCTTTCTTCCTTCCTTCCTTCCTTCCTTCCTTCCTTCCTTCCTTCCTTCCTTCCTTTCTTTCTTCCTTTCTTTCTTTCTCTCTTCCTTCCTTCCTTCTTTTTCTTTTTGGGTGGGGTGGGGGATGGAGGTGTCTGACCTCTATTGTGTCTGGGTCCTGCCTAATTCTTCCAGAACAGTTCAGCTGGAAAGGTCTCTGCCATCTCCTAACACTCAGCGTTCATCCCAGGGGCAGGCACTGAACAGACCTCAAACCACTGTGGTACACTTCACCAGCAAGAAAGCACAACCGCCCTTAGGATAGATCTGTGCCCCTCCAGCTCGGGCTGCCCGGCTTGTCCTGGTGGAAACTGCGGGTGTCCCCATCTAGATCCTGAGCCAGCCGCTTCCCCCGTCAGCCCGTAGGACAGAACTGACAGTCTTACCTTGTCTGGACCCAACTTTGGAAAGATTCGATTTTCCTAATTCCCCTCCAGGTCCTGAGCGGAGTCAGTGACTGATGAGTTCCAGAACAGTCATGTGCTGGTCGTATTTATAGCACTAATTAATTAATACAGGTGAAGAGCTTGGACGATAAAGCGCCCCGACAGCGCAGTCTTAAAATGACGATTAACACCCAGGCTGGGGACCTTCGAATGTGAACGTATGGGGGGGGGGGAGACGCGCCTTCCCAGGTGGAGCCTTTTAAGAAGCAGCCACTTGATTACGGAAGACATAAATTAGCCGGAGGAAGCAGGGCTCAGGCAGTGACAGACTGCCGTAAGAATCCTTCCCCGTTTGGTTTCCATTTTAAATCGACACATATGGCGAGGGGTTGTTTAAGGGTTTCAAGCGCTCATGCATGCTCCCGAGGGAATATGGATGCTGAGATTTAAGTGAACTCAGGGGGTGCGCCCGGCTTCTCAGCAGCGGGAGAAGCTGGCGGTCGGTGCTGAGGCCTGCGAGGGCCAGAGGGCTCAGAGACGGTGGCCTTGCGTGACAGACGGAAGCACAGAGACGCCCCTCAGACGCGAGGCATTGACTTGTGATCCAGTGTCGTTCCGACCGAATGCAACTTGGGGAAGAAAGGGCTTGTTTCAGGTTACGGTCCTCCACCCAGGTAAGATGATGCAGGAGCTGAAGCAGAAACCGCAGGAGAGCCCTGTTAACTGACTAACTCTCTACTTCATGCTCAACTCCCTTCCTCTCACAGCCCAGGCCCATTTGCCCCGGGGATGGCGCTGCCCACAGTGGACTGGGCCCTAACACACCCGTTTGTCAATCAAGACGTGCTCACAGTCCTGGTCGCAAGCCAATCTGATCAGGACAGTCCCTCTTCTCAGGTGATGACGCGCTAGGCTGTGACACTTAGGTGACACTGTGTGTCAGGTTGACACTAAGAACGAGACAAAATATACATCTGGGAAGACCTGGTGGCACTACGGCCCCATCTAGGCACCGGGGATCAGGTGTGGCATCATCTTTTGCTGCAGAGATGTGAAAAATGTCTGTCAAAGACAGGGCGACGGTCACAACAACCTAGATGATGGCTTCACCCGGGGCCAGCTTGGTCAACCTGTGAGTTTGTTGGGCTGTCCCAGGGGAGAACGAGCGAGGGCTTTATTTGTCAGATTCTCGTCGTGGCGGCACAAACGAGAGTCACTTGGCAAAAGGGAACCATGAGTAAAGGAACGCCTCCATCGTACCGGCTTGTGGGGCATTTTCTTGATTAAGGATTGGTGTGGGATGACCCAGCCCACTGTGAGTCCTGACACACCTGGGCAAGTAGGCCTGTTTTGTAGAAGAAAGACCAAGCAAGCCAGGAGAGCAAGGCAGTAAGCAGCCTCCTCCAGGGTGTTAGCTTTGGCCTCTATCTCCGGGTTGTTGCCTTGAGTTACCGCCCTGACTTCCTTTGGCCGTAACCTGTACGATGCCTTTCCCAGGAGGAAGTCTGTTTGGTCAGGATTTTATCACAGCAGCAGAAAATCAAACTAGCACAGGGCCATTAGGTGCTCCACCACAGGTAAAAGCCAGCTTGGGATTCTGTATTGTGCATCTGGTTTGGGATGGCCCCTGACTCTTCCAACCTGAGAATCTAGTTGGGGTCCCGAGAGAACACAAGGTCTACCCTCTGCCCCGAGGAAAGCCAGATTCATAGTTCTGCAGGCCTTTACTTCAATCTCTGAAGGGATTTACTGCTCTTGCTAAGGCAGAGCCTCTGGGGGCAAAAGGGGTGTTTGCTTAGAGATGAGCCACCCTTTTGTGGTATTTGGGATCGAATCTAAGCTCTTTCACATATTAGGCAGGTGCTCTACCACTGAGCCGCACCCACAGCCCCTCACTGGGGAATTCTAGGCAGGGGCTCTACCACTGAGCCCCACCCCCAAACCCTCACTGGGGGATTCTAGGCAGGGGCTCTACCACTGAGCCGCACCCACAGCCCCTCACTGGGGGATTCTAGGCAGGGGCTTTACCACTGAGTCACACCCCCAGCCCCTCACTGGGGGATTCTAGGCAGGGGCTCTACCACTGAGTCACACCCCAGCCCCTCACTGGGGGATTCTAGGTAGGTGTTCTGCCAATAAGTTCTGTCTTCAGTTTTTTTTTTTTTTTTTTTTGTTGTTGTTGTTTTTTAATTTGAGATGCTCTTACTAAGTTGCCCAGGGAGACCTTGAACTTGTGATATGCAGCTCCAGCCTTGAAAGTAGCTGGGATAACAAGCCTGTGCCATCAGTCTGGCTGGTGCAAGCACTTTTGATGTTTCTTAGTAGCATACCCTGGGGCTGTGCCCATCTGTACCCATCAGGCTTTTTTTTTTTCTGACAGGCAACTGAAACTAACTCCAACACATTAGGAATTTACTGGAAGGCTTCCAGACAGCTCTGGAGAGGCTGGGAAGCATGGAGGAAAACGGCCTGGGGAAACGAGAGGAAGCAGGGATGATGAAGACATCTGGGTAGAGTTGCAGATAACGGTAGACATCTGGCTATATCTGCAAGTCCGGGCACCAACGTTGGAATCAAAGGGCTTGCTCCCTGTGTGTGCCTCTTCTCTTATAGCCCTACGGCCTGAGGTTAAGGAGCTCCAGGGGGCGATCCGGTTTGCTGTTATGTGATAAAACAGTTTTGACCTAAAGCAGCCTGGGTTTATTTCAGCTTACGGTTTATAGTCCATCACAAGAGGGGAGTCATGGAAGGGACTTGAGGTGGGAACCCACAGGCAGTACCTGAGGCAGAGGCCATGGAGGAGTGCTGCTTCCTGGCTTGCTCCCAGGCTTACCTCAGCTGTCTCCCACGCCCCTCCCTGCCCCCACCAACGCAGGCATGGCACTGCCCACGGTGGGCTCTGCCCTCCTGTAGCAGCTAGCAGCGAAGAAAACAGCTCCGCAGGCATGGCTATGGGCCACGCTCTTCAGCTGAGGTCCCCCTTGCGGGCAGCCAAGGTTAGTCACGGCAGATGGCTAAGCCCCGATGAATGGTTGCCTCGGGGCTAGGGAAGGGTAGAGCCCTCAAGAGGAGGGAGGCCCCTTGGAGAAAACGGAGACCTGAGAAGAAGGGGTGGTTATTAGGCAGCCACAGTGGCAGACGCTGCTTTGAGCAAGGGCTGGCTCACCACTGAGAGGCCAGGATGACCCTGTGTTGTACAGGAATATCCTCCAGGGGTCCAGCCGAGCCCTGGCATCAAAGATCATCATGGAGGACTTGCGATCGTGACCTTCTGTTTTGGAAGAAGGGTCACCAATTATCCAAACAGGTCGTACTCGAATCTTCCTTAAGTGCATGTGGCCTTGGGGGTCCCTGGGAGGTGCTGGAGGATATAGGTGTGGGAGCAGGAGGGGAGGGACTATCTCCACACAAGCGTTGGGAAGCCGCCATTCCCGCTGGGGGCAGACCCTTCTGCTGTGGCTGTCACCACGCTCCTGCCTGTGTAACTCCTCACCCATAGCTCTTAAGGAAGCCCAATAAGCTCACCCCGGTTTCCCCGGTGAACTCTGGTGGAATCGTACCTTGGTTTGCTGCAAGGACCGTAGGAGGAAGGTAGACACTGCTTATGTATCCCCAGGGGAAGGAATTTTAGCAACATCCTGACACCCCATCCTGCCCCTGTTGCAAGCTGTAGAGAGGCTTGGGGATGAGCAGTAGGGAGGGTCCTCATTTACTCTCCTTTGAGAGTGTACACCAAGGCCCAGGCTTACGGTAGGCATCTTTCTCTCCCTGACTTCCAGGGTCCTCTGCCCTCCGCCTGTGGGGATTCCGGGTGGGTGCTGACTCCCATTGTGTTTGTCTCCAATCCTGTAAATGTCCACCGGCACAGCAGCCGCTTAGGAACCTCCAGAACCTTTCCAGGACCCCAATGTGAGGGAGATCCAGCCATATCCCGGTGAATGGCCTCATTTGCCCCCCACCCCCCCGGAAGAGCACGGGTCTCAGCCAACTTTTCTCCTTCTCCCAAACACTCCGTGTCGTAAAACATGCTCACCCCACGAGAATATTAGTGGATTTTAAAGGCTCCTAACAACCCCATTCTCGTGCTTTTGGGTGGCTGTTCTGCTGTAGGATCTGTGGTTCACAGATACCTTTTGCAGCTCAATCTCTGGTTTGTCTGGGACCTCGCTATCATCAGACCGGGGGGTGGGGGGTGGGGGGTGGGGAAGAGGGGATGGGTGGTAAAGCATTGAGCAAGATAATGATAATAAGGCAAGTCGACAAAAGTCCATTTAGCCTTGGGATCTTATGGTGGGGGGTCCTCACTCCTTTTCTTGAGCATGCTTGATGTTTTCATCTCGTGCTCTCTCTGCAAGCTTGCTTCTTTTTGGCAAATATGGCTGTGGGCATCTCAGTCTAGCTCAAGCATTCTGCTCTTGGGCTTCTCCCCTCTCCCGGAGGCTTCTGGGGCTTTGGCTCAGTGCAGTGTGTGTTTTCTCTAAGACCAAGACCTTGCCCTGTGGGGATGTCTGCGATGATCTGCAGTCACACGCACTGTCACTGTGGCTCAAAATTCACCACCTTCTTTGTCTTTTTTTTTTTTTGTTAAAATTGCGCTTAATACATGTAACGTAAAAGTGACCTTGTTAACCTGACATTTTAAAAGAAAAATATCACACGCGTGTATAAACAAGTGTGTGCGTGTGTCTGTGGGTGCGGGTGTGTGTGGAGGCCAGAAGAGGGCGCTGGAGTCCTAAGCGGTTGTGAGCTGCCCTGTGCGGATGCTGAGAACTGAATTCCAGTCCCCTTCAAGGGCAGCAGTGCGGCTAGCTACTCAGCAGTCCTTCCGGCTCCCATCGGAATCGTTCTAAAATGGATAGTTCAGTGCTGGGGACTGCAAGTTTCCACCTTCTTCTGCAGAACCTGTCATTTTGCAACCAAAACTCCACACTCACTAAACAGCCACTCCCCATCCCCAGCTCCTTGAAATCTGCATTCTACTGTCTATCTCTACAATTTTGACTGTGTCAAGAACTTCCTACAGGGGGAGTAATACCATAGTATTTTGTGATTGGCTAATGTCACTTAATATAATGTCCTTGAGGTTCAATCGTGTAGCACATAGCTGAATTGCTTTTGTGTTTTCAGCCTGGGTAATATTTCATCATATGGTTGCACTGTAGTTTATCCGTCCTCTGCCAAAGGACACTTGGGTTCACCTCTGGGCTATCGTGAACAGTGCTGCAGTGAACATGTGGCATATCATTTTTTTTCCTCCCGCGCGATCCTGCTTTCTATTCCTTTAGGCATATACTCAGAAGTGGCATCACTATATCAGATAGTAATTTCATTTTATGTATTTTGAGGAATCAAGCTTCATACTGTTTCCCCGCAGTGGCTGGCTTCGTCATTGCACGGTTTACCCACAGCGTGTTCTATCAGGTGTGAGGCAGTACGTCATTGTGGCTTTGATTAGCATTTTCCCTGTGACAAACAATATCTTTTCACACATGTGCTGGCCATTGTATAGTCTTACTTGAAGAAGGAACAAGTTAGTTCTTTGCCTGTTTTACAAAGTGGGCTGTTGTTTGGAGTTATCTAAAATTCTACATTTTAACCCTCAACAGATTTATTCCTCTACTGATTGCATCTTCCTCCTCCCTCCCATCCTCCCTCCCTTCCTTTCTTTGTTTTGTTTTTATTTTTTTGAAACAAGGTTTCTGCATGTGTTAAGCTTTTTCTTTTGCTAGCCGCTTTGGTTTATCCCCTGCCAGTCGCCTGGGCTCTGCCGCGCCAGCCTGGTTCTAGATCCGCATGAGTCCCAAATAAACACACAGGAGGCTATATTAATTATGAAGCTGTTGGCCTTGCTTGTCTCTTACTGGCTAGCTTTGCCTTAAGTAATTACCCCATAATTGTTAATCTAAGTATGTTTCTTACCGGAGAATAGTTCCCGGTGTCCTACTCCCATGGCGTCACATGTTGACTGTCTTGTGTTTCTCCTACCCAGAGTTCTCCTGGATTCCTAGCCCCACCTATCTAGATTCCTATTGGCCAGACAGTGCTTTATTAGCATAAGACTTCCCCAACATGCATGTAGCTCTGGCTGTCTTGGAATTCACTCTATAGACAGGCTGGTCTTGAATTCAGAGATCTGTCTGCCTCTGCCTCCCGAGTGCTGGGATTAAATACATGCTCCACTACTGCCTGGCTCGATTGTATCTTTCAATGCCTTAGAAGTTTACAAGTAACTTTTTAGTTGTAGTAATTGATAGTGTGTGACTATCAGAGGACAACTTGGAGGAGTTGGTTCTCTCTTATTTTTATCTATGTATGTATGTATGTATGTATGTATGTATGTATGTATCTATGTATCTATCTATCTATCTATCTATCTATCTATCTATCTATCTATTTTTGGTTTTTCAAGACAGGGTTTCTCCGTGTAGCCTTGGTTGTCCTGGAACTTGCTCTGTAGATCAGGCTGGGCTCAAACTCATAGAGATCTGCCTGCCTTTGCCTCCCAAGTGCTCCCAAGGTGTGCGCCACCATTGCCCAGATCTCTCTTCTACCATGTAGGTTATGGGGATTGAACTCAGGTCTAGTCACATGTGCCTTTCGTGACAGCTGTTTAGAGTATGTATGCATTCCAACCAATTGGTAATTTCCTTTCTATTTTAGGTGTTTGCTAAATCCATGCCATGGAACTATTCCCTATGTTTTATTCTAAGAGTTTCATAGATTGTAGGTCTTACATTTAAGCTTTTGATTTACCGTTGTTAGAGGGATGGTGGTTCTCTCACCAGCAAATGTTCCTGGCATTCCTGCTGAGAGCCGTTAGCCCACAGGTGTGAAGGGTTTACTCCTGCCCTTGCTGTATTAGTCCATGTGCTTGTATTTGCTCCCAAAGTTTAGTGTAAGTTTTCCCACACCAGGGAGGGTGAAGCTTTCCACCTTGATCTTTTTCAAGATTGTTTTGCCCGAAACCTCGTCAAAGAGGCTTGCCACTCAGAACCTGAATGAGGCTGACGAGAGTGAGGAGGTGTCTGGGATGTGCCATTTAAGGAGACAATTTTTTTCCCTTGGGGAGAAGGGAGGACTGCCATGGGTTCTCATCTTTTTGTATGACTGTGAACCCAAGATACTGCCGAAAACTTTTGTTCAGGAATCTTCTTTGTCTCCTCCTCTTAACCCATGCCCGACACTACTTTGCCCTCCTAAACTCTGCAGCCCACTCTGACCTCCACCCAGTAACTCCACTCTTTATCCCATTTTGTTTTCCAGAACACTTAGCACCTTTTCATATTACATGCTATGTAATACTGCCCGCCAGTGAAGTTCACTGCTATCGTTTGGTCTCTTTTAACCGAAAGGTTGGCACCACCATGGCTGGGATCATCCTTGGTCTCATGCTCCTAAGGGCGACCGTGGCATGGGGTGGGCACTGAATTCATATTTATTATATGCTGGCATATTTGTAGATATGCTGCCTTCTCCTAGACCGTGTGGCCTCGTTGGGTGTGTTTGTAGCCTTTTGATGCTTTGATGGACAGAAACAACTTAAGGTTTTGTATTGGTTCACAGTTTCAGAGGTTTTTTTTTTTTTTTTTTTGCTCATGTTTGCTTGGTCTTCTCGACTTGGACAAGCTCATGGTGATGGGGGGATGTGTGGAGGCATAGAGCTATTCACTTTGTGGCGAACCAGGAAGC